GCGAGGGCTCGGATCATCCTGGGCCGGTCCCGCCTCCTCTTCCTGCGGACTCTGCCCGGCTCCGGAGTCCAGGCGCGCCTGCAAAGCGGGTCACACCTGGTCGGCTCGAGGCACGCGGCGGTTCGAGACTACCACCCCCCATCCGGGCCCCCCCACCCCGTCCCCAGTTTGCAATCCAGGAACTTTGCTCTCCATTGCAAACCGGATTGCAACTCGCTTCCTGGTTTGTTTGCAATGACTTGCAAGAAAGCTGCACACACACACACACACACCAGCCTGCATTTTTCTTGCTCTGTATTGCAAAAGGATCCCCAGAGCAAAATGCCTCACCTGAGATTCCCCCCACCCCCGATCCCGCCGTGAAAGGGGGCGAAACAGGAAGCAAGGAAAGGGGAGCGTGGAATTTGGAACCGGGGCGGCGGCAGGGGAGGGCAGGGGAGGCAGGAGGATTCCGAAAAGCAAAACGGGGGGGACGCGATCGCCCTCCGGTGGCCGAAAGGGGTATGACGGGGAGCCGAGTCTTCCCGGCCGAAGGGGCGGAGAGAACCAAGTCTGGCTTAATGAAATAATGAAAAGGTTCCTCGGGAAGGCGAAGTGCCCGCCCACGGAGGAGGCTGCCCGCTGGGCCTCTGCATGATCTGGCCTTTTCTCCTCCAAATTGGCTCCCGCCTGGGAGCAGCGGGGGGACTGACTAATCCAGTGGTGCTCAGTGCAGGAAAACCAAAATCTCTCATGGGAAGCGACGGGATTTCTTGGCCCCCAAGGAGGCTTCCTGGTCGTCTCTTGGCATGAGTCACCGCTCCAGACATGCCACTTTCCAATAAGCAGACACAATGGCCCATTCGGAAGCCACAGGGGGTGTCTGTCCCTCCGAAAAGAGGACCCTGTGTGTAATCTAAAAGTGACCTGCACACTGAGTTTTAATTCTGAGCAAAAAGCCTGCTTGAGCTAGCAGAAGTGCAGGGTCCCTGGTAGGCTGTACTGCCTGGAGGGGGAGGAGAAGAGGGGACGCCAAGTAGCCAGGGTTACCAACCTTCAGGTGGGGCCTGGAGATCTCCTGGAATTACATATGAACTCCAGAGGACAGCGATTAGTCCCCCTGGAGAAAATGGTGGCTTTGGAAGGTGGACTCTGTGGCACAGACTCTGCAGAGGTCCCTCCCTTCCCCAAGTGAGAGCCAATTTGGTGTCGTGGTATCGCGGATTTTAATCTGGGAGAACCGGGTTTGATTCCCCACTCCTCCACTTGCAGCTGCTGGATGACCTTGGGCAAGCCATAGTTCTGTCAGAGCTGTTCTCTCAAGGACAGTTCTGGAAAGAACTCTCTCAGCCCCGCCTACCTCACCGGGTGTCTGTTGTGGGGAGGGGAAGGGAAAAGGAGTTTGTGAGCCACTCTGAGACTCCTTTGGGTAGTGAAGGGCGGGATATAGATCCAATCTCTTCTTCTTCAAGTGGGTGGCGCAGCAACTAGGCAGAGCAAGGCAGGTACTGAATGCTAGAAGTGCAAGTCTTTTTTAGCAGGAGATACTCTCGGAGTTGCTGGTGGCAGCAGGAGGTACCCAGTTTGTTTTTGATAACCCCAGGGAGCGAGGGCAAGGGGCATTGCCCCCAAATGGAGACCTGGGATGGCCGTGGGGTTTCCCGAACTCCCAGGGATCAGCCCGAAGGAACAGGTAGGGCTTGAGTGTCCGTTCCTTTACACTCAACACTGGCCAAATGTCTGTGGTGACAGTATTCCACACTTCAGGTGCCACCACTGGAAAGGTCCTGCCACCCGCCAAACAGTGGGCCAGGGAGCCAGGCATGCACGGCCTCCGTAATTGGGCAGGTTCAGAGGGCAGTAGATGGGCCTCCAAATATTCCGGCCCCAGACCAAGTCAGGCTTGCAAAAATTATCATTGACGCCAGGAGCTGATTGTTACCTGCTATAACTGCTCTGTCATTTCTTTTGTTGTTCAGTCGCACAGTCGAGTCCGACTCTCCGCGACCCCACGGACCAGATCACGCCAGGCCCACCTGTCTTCCGCCGTCCTCTGAAGTTTGCTCAATTTCATGTTCGTTGCATCCATGACACTGTCTAACCATCTCATCCTTTGCTGTCCCCGTCTTCTTTGACCTTCAATCTTTCCCAGCACCAGGGTCTTCTCCAGGGAGTGCTCCCTTCTCATTTGGTGGCCAAAGTATTTGAGCTTCAGTTTCATTATCTGGCCTTCCAGGGAACAGTCAGGGTTGATTTCTTTTAGGATTGACTGATTTGATCTTCTTGCAGTCCAAGGGACTCTTAAGAGTCTTCTCCAGCACCATAGTTCAAAAGAATCTATTCTTCGGCGCTCGGCCTTCCTTATAGTCCAACTCTCGCAGCCATACATGACTACTGGGAATACCATTGCTTTGACCAGACGGACTTTTGTTGGCAGGGTGATGTCTCTACTTTTTATCATGCTGTTTAGGTTCGCCATCGCTTGCCTCCCAAGGAGCAGGCGTCTTTTAATTTCATGGCTGCTGTCACAGTCTGCGGTGATCTGGGATCCCAGGAACGTGAAGTCTGTCACTTCTTCCACGACTTCCCCTTCTATTTGCCAAGGAGTGATGGGGCCGGATGCCATGATCTTAGTTTTTTCTACCATTTATTTCTACCAGAGACTAATTTTGCTGCTGTGGTGAAACTTCCAAGGGCAGCCCCATGAAGAACGCATTGCAGTAGTTTAGCTTGGCTGTGGTTAGAGCAGGAGCCAAAATCCTGGCAGCATCCAAACAGCCACACCTTGGGAATAGGATGCTGGTCTTGATTTTCTCCAGGCCCGTTT